ACACTTTTATCAATATTAAATTCGTTAAGATTATTTACCCATCTGATTGTACAAATTTTTTTTCATGGCACACGCGTGGCTTAAATTCAATTTAACATTTGAATTTTGCACGTGTTACGTACAAAAAAACATTATCATTGCGAGTATACTATTACACCACACTACACCTCGAGCGGTCGAGACTGTGTTGAAGTAGGTTTGCCCAACATAGATACCGGAGAACCGTATACGACTAAATTGTCGATCAAGGAAGTGGTATGAGAATAACATTCTAATAAACCAGTCGTTCGTGTGCCAGTGTTGCGCGAGTTCAGTTAACCATGGACCGGCCACCCGAAAACCATAGGTACATACATGCATTCATACTAGATATTATACGTTTCGCGGTCAATGTTCGCCGTCCGACGAAGCAAAAACGACCGCGGAAAAAACTTAAATAAATGATATAATGTTTAAATGTGTTCTAAAAGCCATCGATATAATATAAGTAATTGTATTTTGTGTTTCCGACAGCGATGGCCAACCACCGTTTTGGAAACAGCGCAGGAACTTGGTCGCGTTCCTGGCATTTTTGGGTTTCTTCAACGTCTACACACTTCGGGTGAATTTGAGCGTCGGAATTGTAGCCATGACATCGTCTTCGGACACAAAGGTGAGTAACTATTTCAATAGATAGTTTTTTGATGGTTTTAATTGTCAATGTTGAAGCTATTGAGTTGTCGTCTTTTCGATTCAGTCCAACGTATGTAAAACATATACACACATCGTGTACACTCTTCAAATTCGATCAAAACTTTTTTTTTTTTATTTAACATTTATATCTCTGCACATTAGTATTACAAACGTGTATGTTTCAAGTACAATATACATGTTACTATTATCGAATAAACGCCTTGGGAAATGAAAGTAAAAACGTGAAAATGTTATCATTAATTTAAGGTCAGTTTATGTTATATATTTTCTAGTGAATAAACAATACACATATGATATAGGTGCAATAAAATCCACTATAATACTGTAAGAGTGTTTCAAAATAAGCCATTATTTATTACATGATATGTCAATTAAAATGTGCAATTATTTTTCACTCTGCTCATAATATACATATTAACTAGAATGTATGGAATTATGGTATGTATATTTATAAATACATATTGATAATACGTGGGTATGACCGCAAACACTTGCGTATAAGTACCATTTCACTTTCTTTTTACACATGTTTTACTGTTGTATAGTGTCGTTAAAGATAATATCGCAATTTAAATGAAAGTTGAGTTGTGCGGATATTTTATAAACTATGTAGCATGAACAAAAATTATTAACATCTATATAAATAAATTCAAATGTTCGTAATATGTCTACGTATTCTTTTTTCATCGGACATAATCTTCGGTAATTTATTAGTTTATAACATGTTATAAACATTAAATTAAAAAATCGTACAATCAATTAATGCAGAGCTGAAAATTTTTATTAATTTTATAAAATCTAAAAATGTTCTAATAATCTTGCAAAAATATTTTACATTGTATATTATAAGGTGTAATGTTTTGACTGCAGACAAGCGAGTTCGACTGGAGTCCAGAACTTCGTGGGGCGATTTTAAGTTCGTTCTTTTATGGATATATTTCTACGCAATTGATCGGAGGTTTGCTGGGCGCAAAAATAGGAGGCGTGAAATTAATCGGTTATGGAGTATTATGCACAGCGATCCTAACGATCCTCACCCCCGCGGCTGCCAGATATTCAGTTTATCTAGTCCTTGTTCTCAGAGTCATCGAGGGAGTATTTGAGGTATGGTACATAAATATATACGACCGACGGGATTCATTCTACCCGCTAAATATCACCAACGTAATATTGAAACTTAAACTTGTTGTACCCAGGGAGTCGTATATCCTGGTATACATGCCGTATGGTCGAGATGGGCGCCGCCCGCCGAACGCACCCGATTAGGATCGTTTGCTTTTTCTGGTAGTTTTGTGGGTACGGTTTTCGGATACCCGATGTGCGGTTGGTTAGCCGAAAATTACGGTTGGCCATCTACATTTTACGTACCAGGTTTGTTCAAATAATTATACATTTATTTTGTCAATATAATAATAATTGACAATCTACACGTATTTATTTTGTTATAATATCATTATAATGTACAATAAATACCTTTATATATATAATGAGTAATTATTTTATTGAACAGCACTCATTATTTCAAAATCAATTAACTCTTTTAAAAATATTTTTTCCAAATGACTTCTAATCAAAATAAAACAATTTTTTTTAAAACAATAATGTATTTTAATATATTTATTTTTTTTCGTTCGTTATAAATATTACTTTATGAATCACAATATAAATTTTTAATCGAATATTTAGAAGCAAAATATTTCAATTTGTATTTAAATACATAAATTAAAATCGAAATTTAAACAAGTAGTTTATAAGCTATAAATATTTAAGTATTTTTAATGACTAACATATAGCAGAGTATTTCCATACCACTCCACTACGTTCATCTAACTTTATATACTTTTAACTCAAAAACTACTCGTTCTAATTTTGATTTTATGTTTTGAAATACTTAAATCCGAATAAAAATTCTGCTTTAGAACATGAAATTAAAAATATTTATGTTGTCATTTAAAAAAATAAGCAACTTAAAATTATAACGATTAAAAATTTTAAGATATATTGTAATTCATATAAAATGTTGTATTATTTCAATTGGAAATCATATAAAAAAAAACATTTTCAAAAACATTAACAGATTTTGAAATAATATGTATTGTGAACGTAGACAGACATTTGTTTGGATTTTGACATTATTACCTAAAGTCAAGAAAATCCTTCTTCCTCTTCTGTTGACCTCCTAAGGTTATAGCTTGTAATAATATCAAATTTACATATTATTTTCTACGTTTATAGGTTTCATAGCTATAATTTGGTGTGTGATTTGGTTGACGTGGATCACTGAATCTCCAGTAGAAGACAAACGCATTACGAAAGAAGAACTCAATTACATAATCGATTCAATAGGTCCGACAGATGACAATAAAAGTAAATACATTGTTTTGACTTCTTAATGTATATATCATAATATATCTAAATTTGTTTGTAGTCAGTTTTCTTAACTATCCCTGGAAAGATATATTAACATCGATGCCAGTTTGGGCGATAACATGTGCCCATTTTTGTGAAAACTGGGGATTCTACACATTACTTACTCAATTACCAAGCTACATGAACGGTAATTACACAATTAAATTTAAAAAATAACTTCCAATTTATTAATTTATTTTTGATTTGCAGATGTACTGAAGTTTAATATTGGAAAAGGAAGTTTACTATCAGCTCTTCCATACCTTGTTATGTCTATCATTCTCCAATTTAGTGGGTTCTTTGTAGATTGGCTTCGGAAAAATGAAATACTCACTACTACACAGGTTCGTATTTATAATATATCATTGTGACTGCAGTATATAAATTTAAAAATATCCAAAATAACTTTCACAGGTGAGAAAGGTTTTTAATTGTGGTGCTTTTGTAAGTCAAACTATATTCATGTATTTAGCATCAAATTCTACATCTGAAAGTGGATCTATAATTTGTTTGACGTTGGCAGTGGGTCTTGGAGCATTTGCTTGGTCCGGATTCAGGTAATTGTTTATTTTTTTTTTTATATATATATAGGATAGATAATTTATAACTTTTTGTTTAAATTTCACAGCATTAACCCTTTGGATATAGCACCTCAATACGCCAGCATTTTGTTAGGGATCTCCAACACGTTTGCAACTATACCTGGCATTGTGAGTCCTATGTTGGCCGGTATTATTGTACAACACAAAGTTAGTATTTTTATAATTTTATTTGATTCACATAATAAGTATTATATAACATTATTAAATTATTATAATATTATTATATTTCTAGAGTGCAGAAGAATGGCAGTTGGTGTTTTTAATTTCTAGCGGTATATATTTGTTTGGAGCCGTATTCTATGCCATATTTGCTTCAGGAGAACGACAGCCCTGGGCCAAAATTAAAAATGATGAAAAGAATGGCCATGATAACAAAACTTTTGATGTAAAAGTTTAGCCTAAAATAAAATTGTGATTTCTGTTGTCCATAATTTTAATGAAAACTTTTATATACTTATTTATTTTGTTCAAGTCAAATCCTACAAATCCTACCCTTTGAAAAAATTTGTTCATTTATAATTTGTAGGTGAGTTTTTATTATATTAGCTTTAATTTTACAATTGTGATACAAAAAGGTATTTAATACTGTTTATTGAAAGACTATCTTGAACTAAAAACATTTGTTTTGAAAATGTGATTAATATGTATTCGTTTTGAATAGGTACATTGTTTGTTTTAAAATATAAAATATAAAAACGATTTATTTACAATATACATAGTTTTACGTATGTAGTATATATATTTTTATTATTGTATAATGTCATAAATTTTTGAATAATAATTATTCACAACATATTTTAGTTTATTAATTTAACTTGTAATAATTTTTTATGTTTAATTCCTGTGCAGGCTAAAATTCATTTATATTTGAACCCAGCACTAATGGTATCTTTATTACTATTATATCGTATTTACCTTGATTTTATTTCGATGGTCAGTAACCTATATTAAATATTATCTAGGTCATATAAATGGTAAATACTATCTTTACGAATTTTAAAAAAAAATTTAAAAAATGCCATGATAAAATTATTATTGATGAATTAATTAATCATAATTAACGTAAAATAATATCTATACCAACGTCAGATGTTGTATGACATTATACCGTATTACTGTAGCGTCAAGTAGAATGAGCCACATCGTAAACGACAACAGATATAATGTATATAATAAATAATATACTTTTATATTATTATAAATTTATAAACATTATTATTAAAACACAAAAATGAATAATATTTTATAATCTTATTTATATAGCTTAAATTATTATTAAAATATCTTGTTTCGTACCTGTATTCATCCACGAATCCGGACGGTTATCGTTATTCCGCAAAGGCAAACAGCATCAATCCACTTGCGACCGTTTCGAACGCCGGCGATACACTCGTCCCCTCGGTGCACGTGCTGCCCGCGATAATATTTGAAGACTTCGAAATCTCGGTGGTGTGTATTCGGGGCGGGACCGGGACAGACCAATCCTGGCTCACCGGGGGCGGCTCGGCGCATATGCCCTATGCCGCCGACGCCCCGCGCAATTCACCGCGGTTACTATACGGTTCGCATCGTTTTAAATATCATATTATTTTCATATGAGTGAATAAGTGCGCTTTGGTATGTGTTTCACACCCGCACTTTCCACCCACAACCACAGTATCCTGACCGCGACCATGTGTATATCATGAGTACTACTCTGCGAGAAATGTTGTCCGGCTTCCAAGGGGTGCGTAATCGGGTAGTGGTGGGGAAGGGGTTAAAAGTGGACGAAATTTGGGGAGTACGAGAGAAAGAAATTAAAAAACAATAAAATGTAAACCCGGAGCGCGGACGTGCGTATGGCGTATGTATATATAACGTACACAATAATATGTATATTATATTATATCGCATAATATACGCATGTGGTCTGAAAGTCGAGTGTCCTTATGCTATGCGCGCGGGGTGTACTGCAGCAGAAAACGTAGGAGAACCGTGCTTAGACCGATGAATACAATAACCAATCTATATATATTTATATGTATAGTGTGCGTGCGCACATTTTCATTATACCGTGACAAGTGTCTAAGACTCGAGTGTAATTCGCAAATTCAATGAAGTCTATGTGTGGTCCAACCGAAAAAATATGTATTTTCTAGTACTTATAAAATAACAAATTTTATTTCAAACTTGAAAATTTGAGAATTCACAAATTACGAAATGCCAACAACAAATATAATATAACTAACAGATTTAAAAATCTGTTTCGTCGTATAATATATGCATAATAAAGAACCAAAATATTGAAAATAAAACAATATTAAAAATCGTATCGTAGCTATTTTTTATAATTTTTTAATACTAAACATTTTTCTCGCTATTAGTAATAACAGAATAGTCAAGGCTAGAACTGGCTACCTTAGCCTCATCAAAACTCGTTGTTTTTTATGGGATAGTAATATTTATTTACTTACGTATTTAATGTTAATATAATAATATACCTTCTAGTCGTATGTAAAAGTAATAAAAGTAGTAAAAGTAATAGTTATAGTCAATCATTTAATATATTATATTAATTGCATGGTTGAATCAATTATGTTTCTTTTTATAAATCTGTTAACGTAATAATAAAATTCTAAATATTGCCCTGAATTAGGCAAAACCCTATTAAACATTCGATACTGATTAAACAATATTTTTAATAACTTTTGAGAGTCTATTAATACTATTACAAAACTACTATACATATTATTTATCTCCTACCTATATTGTATGTGAAAAAATTTTACATTCAGTACTTATATACACTATGTTAGTTTAGTTTTATATTAATTTGACTATTGATAATTGATAGATTTCTATCTGTTTAAACTTTTAAGTCAACAAATTTAAAATATTTTCAGACGCAGCCGTAATCTTTCAACTGTTATAATTTTTATTTTATACAATATACTATATTTGTACTAAAGTGTCATACTTTAAATTATATTTAATCTATATACAGGTAATTTATAAATGTTTAAACTTACAAATGCTAGCTAGTAATAAATTAAGTGATGTACATTAAAGAAAATTGCAACAAACATATTAAAAATTAAAATAATGAAAATAATATTCAAATTCATGAATTTTGAAAATTTAATATTTAGATACGTTTACTGGTGACCAGATAAATAATGAAAAGAGCCTATAATACAAACATTAAGTATTTCATTATTATATACTAATTATTATTTATTATGAAAACAGGTTTAAAAAGAAATCATAAATTATATATAAATCATAGTAGGTATTCAAATTTTGTATCATGATTATTTAAATTTTGAATTTCTTCTTTTTGCTTCTTTTATGCCAGATAATTTATAAATGCCACAAAATAAGTAGACTAGGGTATTAAACTTTTTTATTTTTATAAAAAGAGTATTTCACCTTTCAAAATAAATAAGGAATGGATCTTAGTTCTTCTAGATTTGTCCTAATTATACTCTAAGAGCTTGTTTTTTTATTATCTTAAGTGTACCTACCGTTGAGGTAAATGGGTAAATTTGACTCCAAATATAGTTTTCGAAAATGCTAATAAGTAAAATAAAGAGCTAAAATTAAGTAATATGTAAAAACAGTGGTGAATATGGCTCCAAATAAGTCAAAGTTGGCTAAAAATTTGCTTGTTAAATATAGGTACTATGTGAAATATACTCGTATACAAAGTGAAGATAATCTATAAGTGTCTACACATCTTATTATTTTAAAAATGTTTAATATTTTAATTATTATTATTTTTTTTTTTTTTTTTTAATTATAAGATTGCTAACAACATTTATGATAAAAAAACAAATTTTTTTCATAATTTTTTTTACTTTTTTAAAAGACAACAATTATTTTTAATTTTATATTTCAAAGCAGAGTATTTCTTAGAATACTTACAGATACTGAATTTTTACGCTGTTAATACATTATATCTTACAAAAAAAAAAAAAATAAATAAAAATAGTTTAAACAAATAATAGAAACATTCAACTATTTTTTTAAACTGTATATGATATAACGCAATCGTATACATTAAAATTGTTAGTAACTACTTATATTTTTCTTCTAAATGCAATAAACTTATACTACGAGTGTTATTATAGTAAGTTATTATTCAAAATATAGTACGATATCAATTTCATCATTAATTAATAATTACCTAAAACTAATTATTTTCATACTTTCATGTATCTATTCATCCAGACATCCAGGTTCATTGATTGGGCAGAAATATGCATTTACAATTGCTGTCCTAAAGTAACACACACTACTAATGAATGAGTTGTCCAATAATATTTTGTATATTATTATAGTCCCAATTTTCGACAAGCTGGTAAAAGAAATCTACACGGAAAGAATCCATATTACGAGCAGATCATTTATACTGTACAAAAAAAAAAATGTAATAATTCCAATTTCAGATTTATGACTATATTAATGTATTATTCTACATAGATTCTATACATACTCATTAATTATATGTGATTAATTATCCGTTTTTACTATGACAATAATTTTAAATGCATAATATTCATATATTTAAGGTAAATCCAAATACGTTATTATATTTTAACTGTGAATAGTGATTAAATACGAAAAACGAATAATGACTATAACATTTATTCAGAATATATAAACCACATGGGTTGAATTATTTTAGGATTACACAGAAATAATTGCATTATATATTGCAACAGAATAATTGGTTATTAATTACTATAAATAAAATTTTATAGTATTATGTACAATACCAATTCCGCAAAAAAAAAAATAGAAGCTTAGAATAATATAAAGGACATTAAAACAATTGTATATTTGAACGAAAATACACATTATTGATTATAAATAGTATAATAATTGTATAGTATACGTCATTATAGTGTATACTGTGTAAGACCAACTATCGTATTTTTTACATCAATTTACCCAGGGCTGATGAAACTATATCTAACGGAAACTCGAACCGGATAAAGCATAAAACGACCTTTGTTTTGTATAAAAAAAAAGCGAGCCCGAATAAAAAAAATAATAATAACTGAAAGGAAAAAACACACTTTTAGCTAACACAATTTTTTAATGTCATTATTATTCGGGTTAATGTCATGCCGAGTTTCCGTCATCTCAGAAAGTGTATGTATAAAATATTCAAGAAGAGGCAGCAGAATATATAAATAAATATGTATATAATGTATATACATGTATATAAATAATATTATGATGTTTCTTTTTCTAATATAAAAGAGAATATTCAGAGAGGAATAAAAAAATATATTTCAGGACCTGCGAAAAGATAAATGCCTTGTGGAAGTCGTTAAAGAATAATGTTCTCCGGTTCAGTGTTACCATGCTGTGGTATACTGGGATAGACGGAAAACCATCGCGGCAATATGACCCCTCGACGATTTTTCATATCCTTCGCCTTTTATATTCAAATAATATATATTCGGCCATAAATATGGCTGTTTAACAGTAAAAAATGATAATTTTCCATCCCCGATCCACCACTACTATATACCGAACCGCAAGGTTTTGTCGTCTTGAAATTCTGATTTTTATTGTTCCGACGTCTCCGCAATAACTTTTTTTTAAACACACATTTTCTTATTTTTTTTTTTTATTTTACTTGTATTTTATATATTTTTTTTTTCTTGGATACATTACAAAAATACGAATAATATATATAAATGTATGTGACCTTATATTCTAGCTAGTAGCTAACGTACGTAAAATGTCTACTCAAAAACTGTGTTCGATTTCAACATTATAATATGATATAAAATATATAGTATCTACATCTAGCATCTGCATGAAAATTTCTTGGTATCGTACACGGGATTCCAAATCTTTAATTTCTTCTATAAAGTATCTTTAATATTTAATAACTGTTCAAAATCCCAAATTATATGTGGCATAAGTAGAATTAATGACCAATCAGTGTTATATTTTGTAACTCTGTAGTCTTACTATATTGCAAATGTATAAATAGCTTAATTTAAACAATTTTTATACATTTTTAATATTATCAATAATTTATTGTTATAAAGAAAAATTAAAACCTAACTTCAATAAACAAGTAACTAGAACTTAATTATAATAATGCTATACCAATTGTTATATAATGTATAATACATTTCCATATAAATAATATTTAATGTATAATTAGTCACGGGGAAAGCGAAGTTCAATAGCATAGCCTCTCAGTAGCCCCTCAACCCGAAAAAAATTATATTGTATGTACATCTGTGAACTGTGTAAATAATTAATAAATATATGAGAAATTAAAATACATCTAATGTCTTATTAATAGTTTAAGGCATACTTTTAAACTACATAAATGTATCCAAGTTATTGTAATTGAAACTTGAAACTAACTCTCAA